GACAGACAGGGGGAGTAACTCACGCACAGTCACATGGCCGTGGTGTAGACACGGACTGGGTACAGGAGGCAGTCCTCTTGCTGAAGACCGTCCCCTTGCGGAGTCGCGACGCCGTAATATCATTAAATCGATATTACAAGACTCTCACAGCGCTGGATTTGGGTCTCAATAACAAGGTAACAAGGACGTCTCTACTCGGCTCGGATTGGCCACAAGGCTAGAACTGAATCTTCAGGCCTGGAAGCAATTTGATGCGTGGATTTGGAGAGGCAAGTTTCTAACCACGGAGGACGAAGCTCTGTTGCGACTGTCTGAGTCTACAATACTCCCGTCTGTGATTGTCTGTTTTTAGGTAGTTATCCTGATATTCATGGATTGGACGTTGAGTGCAGACTGGTGGCGCGGGCTGGACGGGATATGGTTGGACGTCGTTACGGTCGTGGATTATCTAGTCCTAAAGCTGACGACACGAGTTCTGATCGACTGACAGTGATATCACAGACCTGCACAGCTCTGGCGTGTTTTCGGTGAACATTTCAAAGGGGGCTGAAGTGTTTTAGGACACACGGAGTACGTTGAACATGTCGGCGGGTGTCGGTGCTACCAGGCGGAGACCCAGGCTAGGCTGCCTGTTGGTGACCGTGGCAGCAGTGACGGTTCTATCGTCTACCTTCGTGGCGCTCCACTGGCTCATCTCAGAACATCTCTCGACAGAAGGGCGGGCACAGACGGGGCTAGCGGATTCTGTGGGACCCGAGGGCGCTAAGGTGGAACAGGACGTTCACGCGGCCGCGCCGCTCCTGGATAGAAGGATCCTAAGACACAGGAAGTGGCGTAAGACTGGAAGAGAAAGGGCTCCGATAGACGACGAGGATTATAAGATGTACATGGACGCAGAGGATGAGTAAGGTCGATACTTCTTGTCTTCAAGGTCGGATAGAAAAACGTGACGAGAAAGCAGGTCATAACGATGTAATATCCGAGACTAACTTAATAAGGTGTACTTCGACTTGTCATCGAATCCACCCTACCATCAAGAGAAATGACGCCGACCGTAGAATGTATTTCATCACTCCACTGGCGAACTAATAGAAAAACTCGCCCTGGCGAGGCAGAAATACGGCGTCGCCTGGGAATTCGCGCCGTTTTAATCTGGTTCTGGTCAGGATTCCGGCCAAACATAATTGAATCATAACCGAAAGCGAGCGGAACTGGAAGCGGTTGTCCTGTCCCAGGGGGCAGTGCGCGGCCCCACGAAGTCTCTTCCCTCAACACAGGCGCTTATAGTTCTATCAATTAGAATTGCTACAATTTGATGAAGCGGAATCAATATATCGTCTGAAAAAGAACTGGTGGCTTCCCTCTAGCTCTTTTATATCAACCGCGTTTCAATAACACTCGCATGTCCTCCGGAATTGTCAGATTAGGGATTATAAATAGCCAGGATCAATTTGCCGTAAAGTGCACGCCTGTCGTAATCGCCTTGGCCGCTGGAGGACGAAAGTGACCTTATCAGCGGAACATGTGCTACTGTAGCCGGGACATACGGCCTGACGCGCCGCTGACATTTTGTATCCGCTACCTGACCAATTCGTCGGTCTCGCCGATTTATAGAATGATCTACACTGTCGTGTCAGTTCTATTCCATGTAACGACAACATTACACGTTATCGCGCCTGTCTCCTTAGATTGAGGGGGTGGGGGCGCCGGCGTAATGTCATGTTTAAGGCGGTCCTGCGATTCCTTATCACATTTTCTCCAGTCGGAACGATCATCAAGAAAGGGCACGCCGTGCTGCATCAAGGAACTTTGACCAAAATATGGCCGTGTGAATGGTTTGATGGGTGGCGGCGCAGCGTAACGCATTCCAAGTCGGTTTGGATGTTGTTATTTCTGACGGTGTGTTTCAAGGCGTTAATATGTGAGAAGTAAGACGTATCTGTTATGGCTACAGTGTGTGGGTTGTCTGTTATTTGCACTTTGGAACGGGTACGGACAATAAAACTAGTCTGAGTTTTACGTTGGTTTGTATGCCTAGTGAATATGAGCAAAGGACCCTGACTGTCCATCACAATTAGCAGTTTAACCAATAATAGCATGGCAATTAGGTGCTAAACCAACGAGAGAGTAGTTACATGTTCGTCAAATATTTGTATTTCTAGATCTGTTTTCTTCTTTTGCAATTCTACGTTTTGGCGGAGGTGGCCGGGGCTATAGGATAGGCCATACCGCAAAAAGCTATTCGTATTGTTGAAATTTTCCTCGTCATGGTTGTAACATCTGTGTCCATAATATCAACATAGTCCATAATATCGCCACCTTGAGAAAAGGTGTGCTTAAAGATATTTTTACTGCAACATACCCTAGGTATGTACATTTGAGGTGTGCAGGAGTGTATACCAAAAGTATGTTGCAGTAAAAATATCTTTAAGCACACTGTTTCTCAAGGTGGCGATATTATGAACTATGGTGATATTATGGACACAGATGTTACAGATACATGTAACGATTCTATAGCGTTAGATGAAACAAAACGAGAATTTCGATGCCATTTTTTTCACGGCATTTGGCCACACGAACATGGCACTGGTGAATAATGTAGCGTTACGTTATGATCTTTTAATTGCTTCATCATACTAGTATGTTACTAGTAAGTTCCTTAAGGCCACAGCAAGTAAATTTTATGGATGACATCCTCCACAGACTCCAAATCTAATGCGAGCGGGCGAAAAAAAACAAGGCGGGCCCAAAAAAACAAGGTTTCTACATTCTAAAAATTTGACTCAATCACTAGTGCACAGATGGTTTTGATTCAGTGGGAACATCACATATAGTATATACACAGCCAACATCACATATCACTGCATCAAAGTAAGAAACAAAACATGAAATCTTGTCTTGTCTCCACTCTTTATATCTTCCATCCGGGCAGATTCCAGCATGACAACAGACATCTTTGCCCATTTTCGGCATGTTGACCACTGTCAGAAGGCAACAAAATTTCTTTTTTTTTTTTCCAAAATCAGGCGAACATTAATGCGCGCGCTGATGTCATCTATAAAAATTACTTGCTGTGGCCTAAATATTAAAGTGACAACGACGCGACAAGCATCATGTTTTAATATCACAAGTGACTATGCGGTATACCGTTTACTATCATTAGTGCTGAATGAAAAACCGGAGATTTCAGACTTCAGGGAAGTGTTTTGGGGGTTTTCATAAAAGTATTGGAACTGTGTAGGCGATTTGAAATGTCGGAATTACACCACTTCCTTAACTCCATCCGGTGCGTTCTGGGTCAGCTTGACCTTCCTGTCAATCAACTGTCAAAACCAGATACATGTACATAGAGATTGTCGCTCAGGTTGACCTACCATAACCTAACTGAAGGATGGATAGACGCGCTATTCCATGAGATACTTGTGTGCCTGAGGGGTGATAGGAAAGGTGTAATTCACCAATTTCACACTTCCCATAATGCCTAGTAAAAGTCACGGATATGACGCAGACCACCCCTCCCCCTCTTCCTCGACGTAATATTTCCAACGAGTTAGTTCTATCGACAAACCGGTCAACTATTGTTTTGAATTATTTCTCTAGTATATAAAGCGCATGCCATAATTGCATTTTTGTTGGAATTAGAGAAAATGACGTACCTTCTATCGTAATATAATGCGTAATGTGACCGTGCGAGTAGGAGAGTCTTCGGTAGAAGGTAGAACGATAGAAGGAACGTCATTTTCTCTAATTCCAACAAAAATGCAATCATGGCATGCGCTTTATACTAGAGAAATAATTCAAAACAATATAGTTGACCAGTCTGTCGATAGAACTTGTTGGAAATATTACATCGAGGAAGGCGGAGGGAGTTGGTCATATCCGTGATCTTTACTACGCATTATGGGAAGTGTGAAATTGGTGAATTAGGACACTGTGTGGAAATCCTTCCGCAGTAAAGCGGGTTTCCTCACACCGTGTGACGTCATAACGGTCACCTCGATTACATCACGTGATGAGAAGGTGTTGATTGGAGCAGCCATGCGATCTGTCTGGATTACTGCAGTCTGAGCAGCCTAATACCTGTCCTTATAATTACCTACATGTTTAGTACTGTTCACATGTATTACGCATGTATATCGTGGCGTGGGATAGAGTAGGGCTGGTCCAGTAACTGCCCGGAATGGGTAAATGCTATGACCTTTTATGCAATCTAGTATCAACCTTCTCCGTAATGTGTAACCAACAGAGAACTTCAGCCAACGGCTAAATCATCCATCCAAGGTCTTATAGGCCGTGTCTAAACGGAATCACCCAAGGCGGTGTACATGTGGTTTACCCCGAAGCCGGTTTCAAGTGGCTCCATGTGAACGCTCCGAAATCACATTGAAAGCGCCTCGATCCCAAGCCACTTCTAGGGGTGGTTTCGAATCGGTTTCCCCGCATCGTGATTTGCGTCTGAACGCAATGTGATTTCAATGTGACTTCGCCTGGTCATGGATTACGGAGTGATATTTCTTTTTTTATATGCAATACCAACTTTTACGTGGCAGCAACTTAAAGAGCAGTAATGGTCAAATAATGTGTCCGTTCTAGGGCGAGCTTCACCGCCTCTGGCGGGACCACGTCGGCATTCGGCGGAGATACGCTGGGAGGGGGGCATCAGCAAGTAGGTCGTTGACCTCTGACATTAATAACACGCCGCCTTGCGTGTTATCATCAAACAGCAATAAATGTAGCTCAAGCGCATTATGTTCGGACACGGTTTCACAGGTGTGTGTGGCACGTGGACCAGATGTGAGGAATGTGAGTTACCCGAATCGCGGTTTGGGTGATTCCGTATAGACACGGCCATAGACCTCCTGATACCTTCACATGTACATGGCATTCTGAGAAGAGAAAAAAATCCGGACAGTTAATAAGATTATATAGACTATAGTATATTTATTATAAAATGTTGGCTCTGGAGCGGAGCTACAATGAAGTGTAATTTCAAGCAGCAAGCAGATGTCGAGGAGCTGACCCGTTGCCATATCCAAGCTTCCAGTTTCTGTGATAAACCACTGGTTTTGTTTCAGACGATTTGTCAAAGAAATTGGCAGCGCTAAAGCTATGCTAGGAAAACGTTTGGCCTTCCATAATATTTGCTTGGAGATTAAGCGACAGGCCTGAGTCCGCATCGTAATGTGATTACAAAAAGGGGAGGTACTCGTAAGATCGTTTTGTGCCACAGGATTTTCCTTAAAGACATCCAATACAGTTTTTAGGGCTTTGAAACCCGATTTTTTTTAAAGTCTAGCTAGTCACTTATCTACTTATCTACGTTAATGTAAATAAGTTGACTTGCCTTGTAGTTCTAAGTTTATTTATCTGTTTCTCTAACTGTATTATGTGATTTGATTACTTTTTGTATTGTTTTGTCATTTTATTGGTATGGCGGCTTTGAAAAGGTGTTTCATGTCAGAAACACCTGTTTCGCCATGCCATCCACAGTGCATATTGTACGTGGTAAAACTTGATAAATAAATAAATAAATACTTATTAAGTTGAAACAGAACTGTCCCAATGTATATCGACATTCATGGGACAAAAAGGCCCAAAATTCTGACAAAAAACGGTTACTGGAAGACCTGGATTGATTTTAGGCTACCACCCAGAAAATAAAGGACTCAACTTGGGGCTTGTTTCTGCAGTTTTAAATGCCTAAAGTATGAAATGCTGTTGTGACCGTAACATTGGATACAGTTTGCGTAAAACCTGGTCATGTTTTGTGCTTCAGTTCTCTTTACTTAGTCTTAACGTCCATACATATACAATGTATACACCATTATATCTTATACAACAGATACCACAGGGAAAGATCAAGCGCCCTCAAGAAATCTACATGACCTAATCTACTAGCGTAACCAATTTGACGTTCGTCCTTTTTCATCTCTTATTGAATTTTTCCAACTTCATTCGATTTTCTCCAGCTAACAGAATTTGGACATATTCTGGTATTCAATACGTGCTGCTGTCTTCAATTCTACATCCGTTGGTATTCTATTGTCACCTTGGGTCACTTCATGAACCAATTCAAAGTTTAGTTCCCTTCTACAAAGGGCGCCTGAGACGACGTTATTGGCGTACGCCACATGTACAAAGCACCGTCACCGCAAGTTGAAATAGATCACGGAAAATTTGAAAGCGATGCATTCGACAATGGCCTGCTGTATACATGACGAAGGAGCATTAGAATTCTCCGGAGACTTTTAAACATTCATCAACTTCTTCCACCCGTGACCCGTGAAATCTTCCACACGCCATCAGAGGCACATTTGTCTGTGAGACGTCTTGAAGAAACCTTTAAGGATGAGTAAAGGTGACCGCCCGGGTCCTACTTCCCACCGTGGTCACGTTTTTTGATTACTTGAGTTGCCCCCCTTCAAATCGACTGTCTGCCGCGCTCGTGTATGATTAATACGGTTAGATCAGACCACCTCAAAGGATCAAAATCAAATCATGTGAATCTCCGGGATGTGATTGCCCAGCGGAGGAGGAAATCGAGCGTGATTGCGACCACACAGTTATTCTGGAGTTTTACTTTTACTGGCGCACGGGACAGAGGGAAACGCGGTGCAAAGAAGTCTTCTTAAAAAAACATTGCGGCATGACAGTAGTTGTGAGACTTACTAGAAAAGATACTATAGCCTGTGACTAAATACCCCCCCCCCCCGTGTACACTATATGACATCCAGTAGATTTCTAGCGGGGACCAATCATAGGGCTGCTGACGCGTCACCGACTAGCGGCTATTAACACCTTGTTTCATGTAAATGCCATGAACTCAACCAGAGCGCGTATATTGTTTCTTGTTTACATCAGTACTAAGTACTAGAACTTCCACAATCAGTTAGTAAAGTCATACCTTAGTAAAATCTACTTTGATGAACGAATCAAAACGGGACTGTAGACATTAAGTTTTACACATTCAAATGTGGCTGCACTAGCGCTAATGGAGCGACCACTACG